TGGCCCTTGCTCTCCCCTTGGTGCGTGTGGTCTTAGGCTCTTTCGTGCTTGCATCAGTATAGGATGTGTAGTTGAGGCATTATTCGCGTCAAGCGTCTCCGGTTTAGGTTTCGTTGGTGACGGCTTCAGTAGCTCCCGGATCTTCCTGGCAAAATCGAAGGCTCCGGAGTTCTGCTTTAGTGGCGTCAGTCGTCCTTCATATTTAACGCAGTGTATAAGATGCGCCGATAGTTGTGGGTTGGGGAGTCGGATCTCACAACCGGGGCAGTCAGCCTCGGCAAATTCGTCTTGCATCGGTTTTCTGCACCGGTGGTCTCTAAAGTATGGTTTTGTCATCACCCGCCTACATGCTACGCAATAGCACGGGTCATCGGCTGGTGGTCGGTACATGCCCTGGTGGGCAACTGTATAGTGCGATCTTGTTGCTTGCTTAGTGGTCTTATTCATCCCGCAGTAGGGGCAGCTCAGTTGTGCCTTTTCCACCATTTGGATGGTATGCAGCCGAAGGGTCATGTTATCGACCTGAGGTGGGTGCTTGTCACTACCAAAACCAGGGGTCGGTGGTGAGGCTTCAAGGGTTGTGGTAAACAGCTCTCTCGTCTCCTCAAAGTGTGGTTCGTCCCTTGGGCTGAAGAACGTGGCGTTCGCATCTTGCGTCGGCTTAGTAACTTGGGTATCTGTAACGAACCTTCATCTGGTAAAGTCTCCATAGGTTGGTCTGGTCTTGCATATATGATGTCAGTTCCACCAGCCCAGTCAGCCAGCTCATTCTCCTTAGTTGCTGCCTGATCCTCCATTGGTGTAGGCATGAGCGTTTCTAGTGATGTGAGCTGTTTCAGCCTCGGCGTCAGTCCTTTAGTGATGTTATGCACATGGTTTAGTATTGACGTAGCAGTCACTCCACTGGTTCCGTCGAATACCTTGGCGAGTAGTTGCGTGGCGGTGTCGATAAGTGTGGCTCTCTGTTGCGGGGTGAAGGGGATCTCTTTCCAGAGATAAGTCAGATGTGGTAGTATAATCGCACAAGCCCCGTTGATCCTTATGGCTATATTGATCATAGAGGGTGGTATCGTCTTGACGGCCTGTGTATAGTCTCTGGCTGCATTTCTAGCTTTCTCAATACGGTATTCAACTTCCTGGTTCATGCTCAACTTATTGTCCAGCAGTATGCCCATCCATTTGACCGTTTTTATCTCTGTAGCGTTCCGGTCTAGTCGCAGTTGCATCGTTTTGCTGTTGTTCTGGTACATCCCGTATTCGGCAGCAGTCTGCTGGTTGACGTCCAGTACCCTTTGTACAAGACTTTCATCGTCAAGTATAACCGCTTTATCATCGGCATACATAACTACTTCATAGGGTATCCTCTGCATTCTGATCCGGCATTTTCTCTCCCTCTCTGCCTCGACAAGGTTGAAGAGTGTGGTACTAAGTGTGCAACCTTGCCTGATCCCGTTGGTTAGTGAGAAGGGCTCGGCATAGCGTTTGGCCCACTGTACTCGGACTTCAGCATCCAGGTATTGGTCACGAATAAGGTTGTATTCCTTGCTTGGTATAGTTGCGGCCCGTAGTGCCGCAAATAGTGCTGTATGGTTCACTGTGTCGAAGGCTTTCGATAAGTCCAGCAACAGTAAAGTCTGCCCGGAATGGTTAAATTTGGTAAAGAGCTCTGCCACCGCAGTGGCAGTCCCTCTCCCCTTCCGGTATGCGTGCTGCTGCGGTAGCAGATGTGGCTCAATATAGGGGGTGATATGTTGAAGTATAACTTGGTTGATGATCTTCATCACTGTCGATGGGATGGTGATGGGTCGCGTATTTCCAACGGTAGTCCGTGGTAGCGATTTCGGTATGGGTTTCACCTTCATGTCTACCAGTTGGCGTGGCAGTTTTGTATTTATCCAGACAAGCCGGATGAATTGCTGCAAATCGTCGATTGGTATCTGGTTGACGCGTCTTGCTGGTATTCCGTCCAGTCCCGTAGCTGCTTTCTTGTTAATGGCTTTTATGGCCGCTTCGATCTCCCCAGTATGTGGCGGTTGGTCCAGATATGCTGTCGCTTCTCTCTTTGCTGGTATGTATGAGTCTTCTGCCTTGCTCCACCTCTCATACAGCATTGCTCGTAGCAGTGCCCTAGC